GCCAGAGAATTTGCTTCCCAGGGTAAGGGGGTGCATAGCCATAGCATGAGGGCGCTGCACCCCAGTTCCCTTGTTTAAAAAATTCCCTGTATTATGTACATGTATTTGTTTCATGAACTTCTTAATTTTAGTTATAAAGATACATCCAAATCAAGCAGTCCCAAAATTGTGCTTGCGTATGGATGAATTTCATTCAAACTTGGTACATACAGGACATTATGGGACGTTGATTTCAGATTAGATTCAAAATGACCAATCACTTTCAAATTACAGAAATATATCAGAAATCATGCTGCTATCATGCACATGCATCTGTTTAGAAGATGTTGAATGAAGTCCATTTTCAAGCTGAAAATGCTCCAAAATCAAACATTTTTACAATTGTAGAATCAGATCTAATTAAACTTGGCACATACGTTACATTTTAAAACGTCCTGATTCAAAATGACTGACTAGTTTCAGTTTTGTTTTCTCTTACACAATAGTGTCATGTTGATAACTTGTCCATTCAAAGCTAATTGTTTTTTGTGATTGATTTAAAACATGCTGATTTGCTAAAATTTTCCTGTTAATTTCAGGTGTAGTACATGAGTGTGCCTGTAACACCAAACTGTGTGCACTGGGGTGTATGTGCAAAGTTCAAAATAGTTATGCATGCATTCATTTCTGAAGATTTCTTTTCTGACATGGTGTACCTTCATTAGGCAAAAAAAAAACGGGAAATATAAAATAAAAATGATGCAATAATGTGGTTAAATAACTTTTTTAGACGAAACGCAAAACTATTTTTTTGAATGACCATATCATGGTATTTTTGATACGGGCTGAACATGTTTTTTGATAACATCTATTTACATGTTTCTGTAAAAAAAAAATTACTGAGAAAGTTCTCTTGTAACCTACAATCAAGTTTAATGATGGGAATATCAAAGGTTTCGTTTCCGCCTTTTATTTTTGGACTGAATACAAAGTAGTCCTGGCTATGTCAGGCTACCATCAGGAAGGGAATAGATTGGGAGTAAAAATATGAAATATTTGGTACTTATAAAGCTATTGCATTTGTTTCATGTAGCTATTTATGTCTTCTTGTACACCGCGTATATTGATGGGTTTACACATGGCTTAGGTTGTTAATTGAGAACAGTTTAATATTGTCAGTGGTTTGTAGTTCCATAGAGAGAGAGAGAGAGAGAGGGCACAGGTCTTGCTCTAGACTACAAAAAATGTGCTTCTATTATATTTGTCGTTTGTTTCAGTTACAAATACTTAAATTAACAAATCTTAAACCAGTTTCCTTTTTTAAATTTTTTTTAATTATTATATAATATAATACTCAAATTTGTAAAAATCTGAGCGTCTGGTGATTTATGATTTGAAGCTATGCAAGTGAGAAAGGAGGGATGGGGTATTGTATCTGGCTGTATGTAGATTTTGGAAATAAAAATTTACATTCTTTGAGAGGACTGTTTTTGCCGAGTCACGTTGACACTTAGTATTGTCGATGGCAATGACTCAGCATAATTATGATTTACTGCTTAGATCAAGTGTTATTTATAGTCACATTTTTGATGCAGTGAAAAAGAAGGTCATATTATTATAAAATGAAATTAATAATTACTATGCTGTGCATGTATACTCAGCACTATGGAGTAAGGGCCCCCTAACTATGTAGTTATGGATTAACAATTGAACTCGTACAGTATAGGTGATTAACTTACAGGTAATATGCAAATTACTGTTAAGCATCAGTACCAGTAATACTTTCCTGGACTAGGTAACATTTTCACTGCTACAATGTACAACACTTGTGCTGACTCATGGTTGTCTATATAATAGAGTACACATAGCATGGTTGTGTCCACACATGGAACTGCAAACCCTGGGATTATCAACATCAATCCATACCGTTTTTCATCAGTATTCAAAGATATTGACGTGTAATTTGTACATAAGATAAAAAACAAAGGCTGAGAAAGAAAAGCCAAGACATGATCATCTAGCTTATGTGCAATTCACAGGTCTTTCCGCAAGGTTAAATAATAGTGTTTTTCAATAGTTGAAATAGTAAAAAAAAATCACATAAGCGAAATTGGTCATCAGGTAATCCTTTAAACTAACATTAGTACGGCATATGCACTACCGTATTTGCCTATATCTATGCTTTCAGATGATGTATAGGTTGTTATATTTGCATGCTTAGTAACTTTAAGAGAATGTCTAAATCCCAGATCAATATATAACTCATTTCCCTCCTGTTGCTGCCTTAATTTGGCTATTTACAAAAGATTTGTTGAAAAAAGTTAAATATAGATTTGTGTGTTCATTTCAGGTTTAACCAGGAATGCTACATCATGGTTTTATATACTTACTGACATCGTCATTGATACCATCACTATGTCTACGGATGTATTGAGTACGGACGTGGCCATCATTGGTGAGTTGAAATCTTCATACCTGTAGATACATTTAAATGTAGTCTTAAAATTGGGTTTAATTTGGTGAACAAAAATGACTGGTGGATTGTTCAATGTATCAGATATGTCAGTGACCTCTCTGTCCTAATGATCCCAAAAAAATGCTCAAAATATTTCTTGGTTTTCCTGACTTACAAAAACTTGTCTTTCTGGTAAAAATATTTAGCAGTTTTACAGTATTCCTTCTTTCACAAGTCTTTTTTTTTGTATTGTTTTCATGTTATGTTTCAATCCTTTATGTAAAAATTTGTTTTGCTCTGCATATACCGCTATATTAGATATGTAGTGCATCTATCAATAGAACATATAAGCTAACAATTGCATTACCATGGATGTTTTTAACTGTTTTAAATTGTTGTAAATATGCAGAAATGTAGATACAAGTTCTTTGTTTCGCTTTCTGTGCATGGAGCTGATTGGACTTCTATTTTCATTGAAAAATTCACCTACTAGTACGTTTACACTGACTTTCAACGGCGGCAGTTAGACCACCCAAGACGATTAATTCAGAAGCAGAAGCTAATCTAAAATTTGAAATATCTTTTTTCTTGTTGCTACATTTAAGGTTCTACGCACAACAGGGGTTCCCAGACTCCTGAGATTCTGATTTAAAAAGTAGACTGCCTAAAATTTCATTACATTGTCACCCAGTGTCATCCCCCCAAAATCTCATTACGTACCTGGTACGGCAAATACATTTTTTTTAATTTTATTGGTAACAAAAGTATATTCTAAAAGAAGTTTCAAATAAAAACAAACACAACTGCATTGCTTAGTAACAAATGATCATGGTAGCACAATCCGGTCATGCTGCGTTTCACAATTGTTGATTATTACTCTATAATAACTTATAATAATAAACTATAATAAACTTATACCGTAAAATAACGTACAGAAAATAAATTCATCGAATTGTTATGAAATGCAAATAAAATTCAACTTAGTTTCATCATAAGCGAATAATTCCGGTCGCATATAAACGCTCAATGCTGTAGGATATCTACCATGTTTTGTTCTTGAGTTGACCTGATAGGTCAGAAGTGATTTATCGATGTTGTAGTATGATCTTTTGTCTTGGATTTTGATTGGGAATACAGCATGATTTTTTCTTTAAACCAAAAAAAAATGTTTCTTTAAAAGATTACATTGTTTACAGTTATAACAGCTCATTGTCAAAACGAAGCTTACTCATTCATGCTAGTCACAATAAACATCATACTCTTGAATAGACGTCAATGACTATGGAAAAATATAAATTAGACTCTATTTTAGGTATCACGAATGATTGAATGATTGCCCCCAAAATATTTAAAAAAAGCCTTAAAAACTGCCCAAAAATTTTTTGAGGATTTTTCTGGTCCCATTTTATTTTATTTTAAACTGAAACTGCCGTTTAACGACCCAGGGCGAATTTACGGCAGAATTTGGTAACATAGTGTGGGTCTAATGAAGAAAGGAGTACAAGGACATATTGTTGACATGTATAAAAGATATTTATTTCAACATAATAATGTCCACTAATAAAAGAAGACCTTTCTTATATGAGGGTAGGACACAACCCATCTCACATAAAAGCTTTCATATGATGTACAGGTTTTTATAGACATGCTTCGTTAATGTCAGGATCACAGATCAAGTTGTTACTTGTTTCTCCACTGGAAAGAGTCATGGTTGTCACACAGCATGTTCAATTTCATGTAAATAATTGTATTTTACAAGTATTGTGTATGCGACATAAAATCCCTATCAAACTCAAAGTCATGTCTCAACAACCACTGCATTTGTATAGTTGTTGTTTACAGTAATGTTTTATCAAATATTGCCTGTTTGTCATGTGATATATGGTTTTATATGAATGTTGCCAATAGTAACATGGTCATAAAATCAAGTTTTGTCGTTTACAAAATATGCTAGTAGATGTATATACTAGTTCCAAAATTTAAGGGAGGTGGTTGTTGCGCAAACTTGTACGAGATTTGTGTTTATAAACAGTAATTTTTATCACAACTGAAGGATTGCTGATATGTTTTGTATAAAAAAAAGCTTCAGCTGGCAATCTGTCAATACGGAATTTGTAAATCTTTCATGCATGGCACGATGACCACTGCCATTCCAGATGCAGTCATCACTTGTTTACATTAAGTGTTCAATGCGGGGTAATTTATATGGTTATTTTTGTTACTATTTGTTTCAGGTAATGGGCCTTCAGGAATCTGTCTGTCCTATATGCTGTCTGGTAACACACCATATTTCACTGGTCAACCGCATCCAAATATATATTTACAACAGAAATTGGAGGAACATCCGGATATTTCTATACTAGAGCAGGTACAAGGTCATAAGAATCTGAGACATGCATTGTTCAAGCTTGATAGAAACATAACACTTTTTTACCCACACTTCATTTACTTTGATGGATCTTTTTCTGTAGAAAAACAAAATTGTGTTTACTGAAAAACATGCACTTTCATCACGTATATGGGCCGAAATGACCCAATAATGCCGCTCAGTTGATTTTAATGTGCTGTTTATCTTTTGTCTTGACAAGATGAATAGAAATGGTTCTGTTGAATTTATAGCCAACTCAAGGTTTTTGTAGATGTATGGTGTGACGGCCGTTAAAATTACACAATTACGATATTGTTGGCGCCCTTTTACATCTACATATGCTCATGAAAAAAAAAACAAAAAAAAAAACATTGCATTGCATCACTTTTTGTTGCATTGCATTTGCTTGAGATACGCTTAGTTCTCACTAAATACTAATGCTTGAATTTGCAAATTTTCATCTTCTTAGGACCTCGAGTACCTCAGTGAAGGTTTAGAAGGTAGGTCAACCAATCCAGTGGCATTGCTGTTTGATGCACTTCATCATCCCAATGCGGACCTTGGTCATAGTGAACCATCTAGACTAAAGTGGAGGCAGAATGAAGCGAATAAAATACCGCATGTTGTGCTTGGCAGTACATTACCAGGTGGAGCCTGGCAGGTAAGCAGTAACTTTGTTTGCTCACTGGCTTCTCTCAGCTTAGTGTGCCATTTCTGCTGCTATTGTTCCAGCATTTGAATTGAATTCCTTTTTTCGTGTTTGAGTCATTGCTGTGTTTTTAGGCCATGCTAGCCCTTATTTTGTTTAAAACAACTTGAATATCCAAAACGTAGAGTTGCACTACTTTGGCATTATGATAGTCTAATGATAAGATGGCCGATATCTGCAGAACAGAAAGTGACATCACATTTTAAGATCACTTATCACATTATATTGTTGTTCTAAATTGCAGACAATGGGAGATTCCAAACTCACCCTGAGTTTGCAAAGTTGGATGGAACTGCCTGGTTTGAATTTTGTGGAATGGCTTCAAAAGTTACAAAAGTAAGTCAATAACTTTGTATTTAGGAGATCTATGGTACGATATATAAATAAAGTACATGTAAAATACCGTAATGCATTGTACTGAGATATAAAGGCTTCAGTCTCGTATAGCCTCTAGGCTCATAACCTTCGACTTTTTGAATTATTTGCATATCTCTTTGTCACATGACTTGCGTAATTTGAATATGATAATATGCATTTGTGTTCTTCAATTAAATATATTATGAGTAAATGACGTGTTACTTTTCTTTCTGTTTAGGGATGATAAATGTGGAGATTCAATCCAAAACAGAGCCAGTTTCAGCGACGTCAGCAAATACTACTCAGAGTATGTTGAGTGTATGGGTATCAAGGAGAACTTCCTGTCTGGTGTTTGGGTGAAATCGGTCAGACGCATACGTGGCAAGAAAATTAATTACGAAAATGGAGAGTGCGAATTTGTTTCTGAAAAACATGGTGATTCGGAGAACGTGACAAATCTGTTTGAAGTGGTATATGAGAAGTCTGATAAGGAGAGTAGCATGACTTCGGAGTTTAAGATTCATGCAAAAAATGTTGTCTTGGCAACTGGAGCATCAGATCTCCCAAACAAACTTGACATACCCGGTGCGGAGTTGGGCTTTGTTAAATATAAAGTGCAGGACCTCGAAACAGCGGTTGAGGCTGGAGAAATGAATGCAAAGTCTGATCCTATTCTCGTTATCGGTGCTGGGCTTAGCGCTGCCGATGCTATTTTACATTCCCTTAAATCACACATCCCAGTGGTTCATATAATACGCCGACGTGTCAACGATCCAGAGGTAATGCTGAAGCAACTGCCGAAAGCCGTATATCCAGAATACCACACAGTGTACCAGATGATGAAAGGCGAGAAGTCCAGTATACCCGATGCCCAGTACACTTGTTATGATCAACACATTGTTAAGGAAATTCAATCAAATGGTATGGTCACTATATATGGACCTGACGGCGCAACCAAAGATATCAAAGTATCACTGGTTATGGCATTGATCGGGGCCAAGGCCAACTTAAAATTTCTCTGTTGCAGTGGTCAGCGTTACTGCGTGAATCCTAAAAAACAGATTTCAAGCAGGAATCCTATAAACATTGACCCATATACATACGAGAGTATAGCATCTCAGGGAATCTATGCCTTAGGACCTCTAACTGGTAATAACTTTGTTCGATTTCTCAAGGGTGGAGCATTAGCCATATGCAGCCATCTCATAATGAATAAGCATTATGGTCCCAGATCTAAAGAATTATAAAATTACATATACTAAGTCGGGGTTTTAAATTTCAAACCTTCCCAAATGTTAAAGCATCATACATGTATATAAAGGCATTAATTTTTCATTGACTTTTAATTAGCTGATATGGACAATTCTCTAAATTAAATGCAATAGAACTCATTGTTTCATTAGTCAATCTGTGAACTTAAAACCCAGTGAATATGCTCAAAAAATCATAATAGTGAAATTATATGCTAATGCAAATAAATAGTTTTACAGTGATGTACTTTACTAGAGGTGAGGGGGAAACAAACGCACAACTGTTAGGATAATGCCTTTCACATCTATGATTTAAATAATACATAAATATTGATTATAATCAATGTAATTAAAGAAAAATTTTTATAATTGTATATTTACACATCTCGTGACTTGGGTTCATTTAAAAAGATTTAATATGTTTTTAACTTTATGAACATTTTTTTTTTCTGTATCAATTTTATTTTATTTCAGTTGCTTGGTGTTATCATTTATTGGAATATATGTAATATGGTAAATGTTTTATGATATTATGTAAAACAACATATCATGTTTATATTTTTATAATAAGGCATAATAATTGTTCTTAAAATTAAGCCTTCATGATATATTATGTATTCAGCTCCAACCTTCGTTGAAAAAGTATGAAGTTATAAAAATGTGTAAACTGTTCTTGAGAATGAGGTGTTTCATTTGCGTCACAGATGTAGCTCTACGCCATGTGCAAAGATGCAAAGCATGTAGTTTACATTGTTTGTTGAAATTCAAACGTTACATAAATTAAAAAAAACAATAGTACAATAGTAATACTGGCATTTGGAAAATGTATTTTGATAGATTTGGAAGTTAAATGGCAGATATTTGAATAAAAATTGACGAAATCTATGACATTTTTGATGATACATGTACAACTAAAAGAAAGGGTCAATGACCTCAATTTTTTTTTGCGTTGTTTCAAAAGTGCTGTTATGGCACTATTTTTCTTCTACATGCACCTGTATTGGAACATATGGGGTAGAATAAGGGTCTGTGATTGGCTGAAATGCTTGTTATTTTTTTTTTTCTCAAAAAAGTTGAAGGCAATATTTACAAACTCCAATATCTCTTACTGCAGCCTAGGTTATCAGAAACACTGTAAATTTGATTTGCAGTAAGACTGCAGTAGACTTAGAACTGTATCAATATTGTATTGTGTATATAATTTATGTTCCTATTTATTATATTATTTGCACGAAGCATACTGTGTATGCATATTGTAACTATAATACGTGGAAGAGGAAAATAGAGGGGGCAGAAATTAGAAACTTTGAAAAAGAAAAATATCCAAGAATGTGTAGGATGTTGCACTTTATATATTAATCTACTGATGCAATGTGTTCTACATCATTTTACTCCAGTATTTGCGAAAGTTCAACTACTTGTCTGATATTAAAATGTAGAACATCATACGTTCTTTGTGTTTGGTGAAAGGACACTCTTTTGATTTGTAAAAATTGGTCACATTTTCAATAGAAATTATTATTTCATACCAGACCAATTTTGATTGATCAATACAGTTTCGGAAATGTAAGTGTGTTCGAAGTGGACATGCAGGAGTTTTCACATGAAAACACTTTATATTGTCAATGTAAACTACTGAAGCTGAAACTATCGTATCATATATCTTTACAAATAGATTCATATGACCCTTTTTATTTAAAAAAAATAGCTTCTGACACAATGTTTCATTATCTTGAGTTTTGAACAAAAAAAAAGAAATTTTTAAAATTTAACTATTTTTTTTTTATTTTTTACTTTGTAATCCGCATAAATTAATATCATGTTCAACAAAAAGTTCAGCAATTTCTAAAGATTTTCAGGAAACTGTTTTGATCAAGCATAAAAAGTGAAACTATTTACATTGTAATATTCTATTTCTTGTAAAAGCACAGAAAACAGGAATGAATGTACTGTGAAATTTTCATCGCCATCAATTTTCACGAAATGATATTTTGTCTGGCGAAAATGAAGCGGTTTTCAGTTTTGCTTTCCCGGAGAAGAATGATTTATTAAGAATAATATTTTGTAGAAGTAGAACACACATGTAGTTTAAAAAACTTCCTTGTATAATAATTAATTAATTAATTAATTGAATTTAGATACAAGAAATAAGTATTACAACAGAGTGAAGCAGCGGCAGTATTATTTTACTTTTTGACTAAAATGTGAAACACTCAACCAATTTCTTCATTCTAATGAGAAAGTTGGGTATGTGGTTTTTAACTCAAATATATGTAATGCACTTGATAATCATATCGTATTTGCTGTTTTAGTAAATTAAGTTGCGATGGTCAAAATCTGTTGTATTTTAACCTTTTCAGTACCAATACCACAAATTCACAAAAAAGTTTTGTTTATAGTCTGCACTTTTCTTCAGACAAAAATAGCCAAATTATTTGAGTAAAAATTGACAAAAAATCTTGTCTGTTGGGTTCAAAATTAGGGTTCATTTCCAGAAATATTGGAGGACTGAAAAATTTGGACGAGAAAGTCTGGTGGTGAAAAGGTTACTGATAATGTCCATTTTTTTTTATTACGTGTGCATTTATTGAAAATGCGCTTATAATAGAGCAAATACTACACTGATTTTTTATATTGAAAAAATTAAAATAGAACCATAATGATCTTTTGTTTTAATTTGTGTGAAAGGTCAGTTTAATTGTGTAATTATGAAACACTTGAGTGTCCAACAATGTCTGCCACATAATCCATCAGTTAATGACACAGGTTACAGGGCCTGAGTTTATGACTACCAGTCATTTACACTATATGTATTTATTGATTAATAACTATATAATAGGTCACATAATTAGCTGCTATTTTTGATTTAAAACCATTGAATTGGGGGTTACCCAGTGTGACCTTGTGCTGCATTGCATGCTGGGACCTCACAGATTTGAGGGCATGTTCTAAACAAACAGTGAAAAAGCAGCTGCCTATGCGGTGTGAAGGGTAGTGTAAGTGAATTAATAAGACATCTATGGTTTAAATAAATAGTGGTAACTGAAAATAACAATAGCAACAATATATATATGAACAGAGTGTATATACTGAAGTCAAATATCTTGAACATTTAGGTGGCCTGGTGTGCTCACAAAGCTACTAAGTCAAACACCCAACATGATCAAATACTGTAAATAGGATAATTGTTCACTGGGTTTTGATTTTGCTTATTTCGTTGACTGGAAAATGCGCTAAATTAAAACCCAGTGAATATGTTAAATTTAGCGTAAAACATATTATCTAAATGATAAAACAGTGAATTTAAAACCCACTGAATATGCCTGAAATGGTAAATAAGTGACATTTAAACGCAGTGAAAATTGATCATTTTACTGTAGCAATACTTGTAAGCGCCCTCTAGTGTTTGTTTACGAGTAGTGGCCACATGAAGGCAATAGGAGATCCACTCTTGAATCGGTCAGAATGGTGATATCAACATCATTGTACTGTTCTCTTCTTGAATCTGCTAAGTTGAGAGATGACTTGGTGCCTTCTCCTTTTTGTAGGTAGGTCGTGGTCATAAAGTTGTCGCTTCTGCAAGAACCAAACTGAGTGTCCTTCAGATTCAATACTGCCATGAAGTTACATGCCATGGGTTCCATGGATAACTAAATAATAATTAATAGAATAATATGAATAATAAATATATGCACAACGACACATACTGGATAAATTGAGATAGCCGTAAGTCATCAATAGAGGCGTACATGAGAGTTGTAAACAATATTTAACAGCGCCGTCAGCGACGAGTTGTTATTATGAAGGCGAGTTGAAAGCGTCCTATCGTCTTTCAGCTGCTAGGACCTTTTAAACCCCTAACAACTTTCCTACCTTTACTAACTTTATAGATGATTTTATTGTTAACTTTCCAGATATCTTTGTTTGACTTATCTGACGATGTCTTGTCTTCTGAAACCGATTTGCAAACTTTTTTCACAACTTCCCCATTCCAATGCAACTTTTCTGCTTCAAATTCTAATTAATCTCAATCAACTTTGCCGCCTTCAACATATACTTTTGCGACTTTCCAGACACACTTCTGTAAAGTTCTGAAGCAACATTTCAAACTGGTCATACAATTCAACATCCCAGATGTGTTTAGAATGTCGAATAAGTCAGTTGGAAAGTCGATAAATTTGTAATATCGAACAGTTAGTTAGAAAGTCATAAAAGTTGATTGTAAAGTCGCGAACTTTTTTGGAAAGTCGTAAAAGTTGTTTAGAAAGTAAAACTAGCACCTCTCGGCTGAGATAGCTCTGCTGTTAGTAGTAATGAACAATTGGACTTGCAATTGAAGAAGTCAAAATATCACTACTTACCAAAAATGACAAAAATGTTCATCAAAATTAGAAAATTAAAGATATCACAACAAACTGAACAAATCAAAGAGAGATCCGGCAAAGGTATACATATGTTCAACATCAAAGCATTTCAAATTTTTACGTTTTCAGCCAGAAGTCGAACATATCACTTTTTACCAAAAATGACAAACGTATTCATCAAAATCAGAGAATTGAAGATATCATCACGGAATGAACAAATCTAAGAGAGGTCTACCTAAAGTACATACACACCAAGTATCAAAGCGATCAGATTTGCAGTTTTCATGGAGAGGTCGAAAAAGTAAAAAGATGACAGTTGAAGAAGTGAGCAAAACAGCAGAGCAAAAAAGTTGGTTGTACTATCAGGGGTAAATTATTTTCCACAGGGTTTCTCCACACTTGTCAGGGGGGAAACTCGTCTCGTCTCTCTACCTTGTCCCCTTGAGGTACGGGATCGGGGAAGTCACTTTAACTTTACAGTCAAATAAGACACACACAACGAAATACGTTTCAACTCTCGTCTTAGTCGATCTTTTGGAGCACTCTATAAGACACAGCGCCCTGGGGAAAAGTCCCCAAGACTGTCGCAAGGCTGAACCAAGACTCGCCCAAGACTGCGTCAACACTCGCCCCAAGACTCTATAGGACTGGACTCGACTGCCCAGGACTGCACTCTCTCTTCTACTGCGTCTGTCGTGGAGTACTCTTCAAGACCAGCTCAAACTCTCTTTATTCATTTTCAAAACTCTAACCAATTACAAAACAGTAAACAGACTCTAGGGCGTAACCTTCAATCATACAGCCAATCACACTAAGTACTGAATACGTCATATCTTTTGATTAATCGTTCACTACATTAATAACTACGGATGTCAGAATAGCGACGGTATCTTGTAATTAGTTCCAAACCACTGAGCCAAGTTCCGTCCAAAACTTCAAATAGACCTAAACGATGACGGACATAACACAGCAATTCGCTCGTAATCAACTAATTAAGTCGGTTAACAGATACGCAAAAACAAATTCATAACACATCCCTTCACCCAAACTGAGATATGCCTCTCGGCATTGCACGTTCACAAATCAAAGATACCGTCAGCCACTCATCGTCATTGGGTTAAATACAATACTAAGGAAAAAGGTATAAATCAAAAAGAGTAAAACACACTAATTAAGTACAATGATTATAAAGTCTAAATACAATGGTTATAAAGTCACAAATATCAACGGTTATAAATCAAAAACAAGGGAAAGGCTACCAAACGACTCACTTTTCTCAAACAGTTCGCTGAGGTTACCCTTCGCTGCACTGTCTCTCGTTACTAAAGTTACAAACTCTATATCAAAAGGTCAAAAAAACTAAGGCGTGGCGGTGTAACCAAGCGATCAGCCAATCGCCGAAGTCGACAGCATGATCACGTGATTACCAGGGATGCGTCTCTTGGTTAAAGCATTGCAAAGCGGTAACTAATAAAGAATGAATGAAAAAGCTATTAATCAAACTCCTGTCACATACGCTTATAAACTTCAACTGAACTCACAAGTCGTTAATCTAAACAAAAGTCATACGGCGTGGAAACAGAATGCAAAGACAATGTCGCTTTCATAACACATTACTCCTCTGGCAATTAAAAAAAACGGGGAAAAGCAAAACAATAGAAACTACTAAGTTACATATAAACCTGTGAACAATCGTGAACAAAAGCTTGCGTTATCAAACAATACGTATATAAGCGCACCAAACTCTCACCTCAAAAAGACCTTAAAAAACGTTACAAAGGCGCTATCAACTCAAAAAAGCGTCAGAAGTATTCCGGAAACAACACATAAACAAAAACAACTCTTAAAACGTTGATATCTCTGTACATCGACAAATCTCAAAACTCTTAAAAAAACACGTGGGGGCATCATTCCTCCTATCATATTCCGTACTCGTGAACTCATTAAACTCCATGAAACTTCACAAAACTCAAAACACTGTGTTGCAAATACTCGTCCACTGAAGCGCGCTTAAATCGTTATAAAGGACCTCGCACGTCACCAAATATCAGTTCAAAACAAAGATCTGGGCGCTTACATACATACAATTCGACATCACAAAAAAAAAACGGTAAAAACGATAGAAAAAACCAGCAATACATTACATTACTGAACAATAGGGTTAGGATTCTGAAAAGAGTTCAACGTCCTTGGGTTACACAGTGTCAGTTACAGTGTCCAGCGAGCGGTACTCTAAGCAAATAGCTAAAGTTCTAATTCAAAGTCTATAAGCGTCTCTTCTTTCGTCGCGTTAGTCCAGTACGGTCGTAAAAGTTTGTCAGCAAGTTGATATAGAATTAGCTGGCATGTCCATAAAGTTGTAATGTCGAACAGTTGGTAGGAATATTGGTGAAAAGTCGTGAATGTTGGTTGGAAAAGTTCGTTAAAATGTCAAAAAAACTTGGTTGGAAAGTCGATAGAAAATTGTTTGAAAGTCGTAAAATGTGGTTAGAATATTGGCTGGAAAATATAGAATATTGGTTGGAAAATTGAAAAAGTTGGTTGGCAGGTCGATAGAATTGGTTTGAAAGTCGATAAGGTTGTAATATCGAAAAATTGCTTGCAAAGTCGTGTAATGTAGTTAGAACATCCAGAAAGTAGAGAAAGTTGGTTTGAAATATCAAAACAAATTGGTTTGAAAGTCGATAAAGTTGGTTGGCAGTCGATAGAATAGGTTGGAAAGTCGATAAAGTTGGTTGGCAGGTCGATAGAATTGGTTTGAAAGTCGATAAAGTTGGTTGGCAGGTCGATAGAATTGGTTGGAAAGTCGATAAAGTTGGTTGGCAGGTCGATAGAATTGGTTGGAAAGTCGATAAAGTTGTAATATCGTTTGTATAGTTGTAAAATGTGATTAGACAGTTTGTTGGAAAGTCGTGGCTGCGTTGTCAGGATGTCGTGAAAATTGGTTAGAAAGTCAATAAATTAGAGCAACAGTCGTGAAAGTCGATTAAAACATTGGTTATAATTTTGAAAAGTCAAACCATTTGGAGGAAGTCGTGGACGTTTGTTGCAAAGTCGCAATGTTTGAAAGGTTGGATGGAAGGTCGAAAAAATGGGTAGACAGCTATGAAAATTGTTTGGAAAGTTGTTTGGGCGGGCAGTGTACCCGCCAGTGATAATGCTGCCATGTTCGAACGCTATAGCAAGCAATGAGAACTGTTTATTAAATTAATTGAAATATATAATCGTTTGAGGGCGCACTGATTGATGTACATGTATCTAAGATATCGTGGAACATGTACGTTTGCATTTCAGTTCTCTTGCTAAACAACTTTATTTGAAGTCTTCTGAATCGCACAAAATTGTGTTATTATTTGGCATATCTAAAAAAAATGTCTATTGAAATGATAGAAACTGTGACACCCCATAGAACCTAATTATTGCATACAGGTATATCAGTGATATTTAAAAAAAATTACTTTACGCTTATTATTATAAACATCTCAGTTCCATTGTTGTCATCTGACAAAGAATTACTGGACAATTGTTATAAGTTTATCTACATTTGGATCAGTGATTATCATGATTGGTTTTTTTAGATTTAGACTGCATGTCCCTAATCTTGACATATACCTCACTATTCAAAGCAGTACGTATTGCCATTGTAGATGTACTTGTCTCA